TGGGTTATTTTGTTTTTCTGTTGCTTTTTCCCTCCTGTTTTCTCTATTTTCCGTGTTTTTTCCGGTGGTGCGATTTCAGGTGTTGGGTTGATCACGCTCATTCGGATGAAGCGGAGCACATTTCTGTGGGCCCAAGCGTGCGAGGATGGAATTCCCAGCTCGGGCAGTACCCGAGCAACGTAGCCGAGCAAGCTGTAGAAAAGAAGGCAAAATCTTGGACAACGGGACCTTAGCGCCGCTAAGGCCCCTGGGTTAGCAGCGCTTTGGATTTCATCGCGGACAGAAGTTAGCCGCTAAGGAGCCTTAGCGGCGCTATGACCTTAGCGCCGCTAAGGTCTGTTTTGAAACTGACGCGGGTTTCATGGGATTTGAATTGGGGAAAGGTTTAGGATCGATTTGGGGGGCGAGAAAAAGATGATTCAGACTGGTTTTTATCTTTTTTTCACCTTAGAACATATTTCTCTGGTACTTTTGCATCTTGGATTTGATTTTGAGATTGAAGAACTCGTTTCTAGCTTGGATTTTTGGATTGCTCGTGTTTGTTCAACATTGGATTCAAATTAATCGTAAGCACTTCTTTTCTTATTTGATATGATGATGTTTGCTTGGGTTGATGAATGCGTTGATGTTGAATCGATTATGAGTATCTAGATTCAATAACTAGGGTTAGGGGATAATCGTTCCGGTTCGATTTCGTTGATGTGAATGTCGATTGCTCGATCTAAATGAGTTAGGCTAAACCTAGGGTTGAATGACTGATCATCATTTAATCTACTTAATCTATTTTAGAACCGAAAGGGGAGAAATTGATCGACCTCGGCTTGTTTAGAATAAACTTGTTCGGAAACGTATTGTCTATGTGTTGATGAATTCGATAATTGCTCGTTTATGTTTATTCTCTTGTTTCGTGAGATATTGAGAATGAATTCCTAGATGAATTGGTTATTGTTTGTTCATTAGCTGAGTAATTGATTGCCCGCTTAATGTATTGAGAACCGGATACGATTGTCCTCGATACCCTAGTCCCTTTTAAACTATTGGAATTTGTGTTTTAATTGAGAGTTTAGAATTTATTGTTTTGCTTTCATAATCGCTTGCTTACAATTAGTAGTCGTTAAAATAAAACCATCAATCTTGAATTAGAGTGTTTAGGACTTTGTTTCTTATTTTCGTGTGTTGAATAACCGTGCAAAATAATTCGGCTAACCTTCCTTGTGACACGACCCGGTGTCGAATCTTTCGATTCAACTCCGGTTAAAAATATTTACAACAATTTGAGTAAGAATGCGATGTACCACTCTCGCACGAAGCACATTGATGTCAGATATCATTGGCTACGTCAAGTAGTGGATGAACAACAGTTCAAGTTGGAAAAGATTCACACTGATGATAATCCTGCTGACATGATGACGAAAGTTGTAACAGGAGGAAAGCTTCAGCTTTATGCCGAGTTGATCGGCATGGAATGCATGTGAAGATTTGCAGAATGCATCCATTTGGCTGGAGGGGGAGAATTGACATATCCAGCCAAATGTGGTGGTTGTCAAGCCATGTGAAGAAAATAAAATAATAATAATAATAAATAAATAAATGAAAAATGATGTGGTAGCAGGCTGGAAATAGAAAGGAAATAGCTGGACTCAATTTTTTTTTCTTCTGTACATGGCCTTTACCCCTATAAATAGTGGGGGTCTTCAGCGGAGGAAAGTGCACCAAGTGAGAAGAAAAAGAGAGCAGAAAAGAAATTTTCTGGAGTGTTATTTTTCAGTGAGATAAAAATAGAGTGTTTGAGTAAATCCTGTGAGTGTGGGAAAAATATACCGGGTTGGGTATCAACTCTATTATTCCTTGTTTAGGAGTGGGGTTCTCACTGGGTCACTATATTTTACATTTCTTGTGTAAGAGAGTGTGAAAAGATATTGTAATTATCTTGAAAATATAGTGGAATTGTTCGGAGGTTGTCCCGTGGTTTTTTCCTCTATTTGGAGGTTTTCCACGTTAAATCTTGGTGTCTTATTTCTTGCATATTTTATTTATTTGGGATATTCTTAGTATGCTCTGTGATCGCAGTTTAATCTGAACTTCCACATCAGAAAAGAATTATTCCGGTATTATTGCAAGAGATTTTCTTTTGTCATTCTTGAGTTGCTGGGATTGAGATTATTATTCACAATTTCACTTTGATATTTTAATTTACATCTTCCGCATTGCGCATCTGAGCCCAACATTTTTTACACTTTATTTTAAATATAAATCTTTATATATTTCACATCTTATATATTATGAAAATAAAATAAATACAAACAATGAAAAAATATATATTATTAAACACTTTGCTTTATACATTATTTTTCTTTAAGGAATATTATTTTATGGTTTCAATTTAAAAAAAAAAAATAAATTATTCAAAATATGATTGTTAATATAAAAAAAAATTATAGAATAATCTAGAATTTAAAGTAAAGTTATTTTTTATTTTTTAGAAATCAAAATCATCCAATTTTTTTTTTTTTTAATTTTCAA